ACTGTTCTTTTACGGAGTCTCAACATTTCATTTGAACCGATAATTGTTACTCTAGAATATTCACAATTGCACAAAACTGGTATCGGAGTCTTGAACTAAGGTACCAAAAGTGTGAGGTTTAAGTAACCTATAATTCATGTAAGCTTTGTCCAGATTGTGCTTGGCAAGTAGTACTTCGAGTATTCTTGTGAACATTCATCGAAATTTTTGTTTGCTTGTCCGTGATCAGTTGTCAAAGAATGGCAAAATCATTTTCTGTTTGCTTTGTTAAAGTTTCAGCTAAGTACAACACTAGCCTTTCCGATTTTTGGGTACCATCCCATTGATATCATATATCATCACGATAATTTGAGCTTCGCCTCAATCATAATAACGCTTCCAGTCATAACGAGCATAACACAGGCTGGCCATATCAAGATGTGCCGAGCACATCAGACATGCGTGCACAGCGCATATTTGTAAATCAAGTCAATAAAACTGACATACAGTGAGCACTAATTTAAAATAGTGGAAACATACTTACAAAAAATGCCAAGTCAATTTCAGATTTAATAAAATTAACTACCCCACAAAATGCTTTCACCGGATATTACGTCGGGTGTAGCGCATGCCGTGCTGCAGTGGTTCACAAGCAGTGTGCAGTGTCAAAATAGAATACCTTCTTCGCAGTGGACGGTATTGTCAGGTATCGTCGTTTGTACAACTTCCACTCTTTCTTCTTCAAATTTCCAGCCTAGTTACACATTTCGAGTGCTGGCAGCGGCTACGGGCAACAAATGCCTCGGACGACGCGATTTAAACGCTGATGGCCTCGCTGTCAATGACTGTCACGCCGAGGTGCTAGCTAGACGGGCATTCATGCGTTATTTGTATGCAGAGGCACTTTTGTGGCAGGAAGATGGACAAGAGTCAAATTTGAAGTCGATATTTATGCGGCACCCAACGTTGCATCGATTGGTGCTCAAACCACAAAACTCACTGCATCTTTTCATCAGTGAATCGCCTTGTGGAGATGCCGCTATCTACGAATTGAAGCAAGATGTTGTCGATAGATTGGTACAGTATCGACAATCTAAAGAGATAGGACAGTATGAGAAGAGACAGCGTACCGAATTTCGTTTGACGGGTGCCAAGGTGCAAAACAAGAGATTGAGGGAAGCTGATTCACTTGTTTACCAAGACACGCCATCAGACAATAAATTTTCGCAAGTTGTTGGAGTTGCGCGTGTAAAATCTGGTCGATCCGATTTACCGCTGGATAAACAGACGCTATCCATGAGCTGCTCTGACAAAATAGCAAGGTGGAACGCACTAGGTTTACAGGGATCTCTATTGTTGCAATGGTTTGATCCAGTCTATCTGAGGTCGATAGTTGTTATGGAGGATTTCTGGGCGATATCAGTCGAAAAGCAGGAACAAGCTCTGCGACGAGCTGTGTGTGTACGGTTAAAAGAACGCAATGCACTAGTAGAAGGAGCGCTGGTATCATGTGAGACGTCGATTGTATCTGGATTTCCTCAGTTCAGTCGTCGACGGACTTCTTATCGGACGCCATCAAGTTTGGCGGTAAATTGGACTACCCGGGAATCTTGGACACGCGTAGATCGGTGGAGTTTAGGAGCAGGAGCAACGGAAGCATTCGAGTTTATCGTTAGATTTTTCAGCAGATTTGACCTTGAGTTCCTTATTGCAGCTACCGGATTCAAGCAGGGCGCTCAAAAGGCGTCCGACATGGATCAAGCAGCATTGGAGAAAGTGGCATCGCGTCTGGCGAAAAAGAACATGTTACGTGCATTTGATTACCTTCTCGGACATCACTCGGACTGCACAATTCGTCTCAACTACCTTCAACTTAAGCAATTGGATGAAATGATAGCAATTTCCACGAGTCCTCGTACTACAAATGCTCTAATCGGTTGCAAAATTTGTCGCCACCAATTCTTCCACGGATTCAGTGACTGGATTGGAACCCCGTCTTCATTTAAGCAATTCAAACTGTAAAAGTTTGGCTGCAGACTCACAGTAGCTTTCACTGTTTTAAATAATCAACGTTGCTTTTGTGGTGTTCATTTGGCTGTTCATCCTTGAGACTACTCATAAATTAGACCCAATTGTTCCCGTGGAGCTTAGATTGCCATCTGCCATTGCAACCATTTCAACACAATCACCTATGAGGTATACATCGCCAAAACTCGAGTGGCCTCCATAGCTTTGCGGTACCGATAATTTTGTACGTTGCAAATAAGTAAAAAAGCGTCAGCAAGAGAAATATTACCGACTTTCGTTGCGCAGAAAGGCTTACGTTACCATTATGTACAGCCAAAGCCATAGGTGAGAGACTTTTTCGGCTCAAGTTGGCGCAAACTCTTTTCCAAAAGCACAACTTTTGTCGTAAACAGTGTTTTCAACCTTTATACATTGGACAAGTTGTGCGTTCGTGATTTATAGCTTCGAATGAATGACAATACACCAATATTGATCGACAGTTTTATTTTCGTGTCCAGGATGGGCACTTTGGCTCTGTGTAAGCGCTTGACTTGAAAAATGAGGTCTCTTACTACTATGCAAAAGTTGCAAAGCTCACGGATCGCGAGGTGTACGCTGACGTTGTGTTGGATTCCAGCGCAAAGCTGTTGCGGGCTGTACACGACGTTAAATGTTCGGGCTGTCTGTCCTTCGAGCAACCACATCTACAGATGTAATGACAAAAGGATCCACTTGATTTGTCCCTACCATATCAAATCCACGATTATTTTCGTTGCCTGTCTTCATGTTGAGCTGCTTGTTATCTAGTCTTTTTTAAACCTCAGCCTTAAAAGGCAGAAATATAGCGGCGAAAACAGCGCAATTATCCCCTCCAAATCATCATTCAGAGTTTCTATTTTAGAGCCTAGCGATCCAGAGGATAAATTCTAGTGTCTTGGTGAGCTGACGCGATGAGATATCTCAAGCACCTTCATACGCAATTGTCTTTCTAGCAAAGATAGTGTAGTTTGAGCTGCAAATGCTTCTAAGTTTGCATCCAGCAGAAAAGAGGTTGCATTTCTGCTTCATCCTTGCAAACTCTTCGGCGCCGCCCCTCGTAGATGTTTGAGAAACACTCCGTGCAAGCGAAGAGTGCCGTCTCCTCACGAGCTTGCTTTTTCGGACTTCACGAACGAGAAGTATCCCAGACTTTCTCTTGATTTGTTAGTAAGTTTGGCGAAAAAACTCGACGCATGCAGCAGCTTGGCAGTAGCGAATGTGCGTTAGTTGATATAACAAGCACATGAGTGACACGTGAGGAAGTTTATCAACGATCCTTGCTCACTTCCATGCGCCATCACAGAATAACTAGCCGCATGTAAGTGATTCCTTTCAAAGCATTGTTAATTAATGGGAACGATACGACAACGACATTTTTAGCGGACCAGAATGCCGATGCTTATCATCTGTGGCCAGGCTGTAATCCATATATGAAGGTGTTAGAGTGTGATGAGCCATGATATGTCTTTCTAAGCCGGGCTTTCTTAATTAAAAATAGAAGCCCACATTTAAAAGTATTCTACTGAACCAATAAGTACAGTTTATGACCTTATGAATTTCTAATAGAGAAACTCAGAGCGTTGGAGTCAACACCAAAATGGCGAGAACTATAAATGGTTGGAGATAAAATTAATGCTCTCTCCATGTAGTTTGATTCAGCTTCCTGAAGGCTTACTCCGCACGATTTACCAATTGATCCATAATCCATAGGAGCAGCGCACATAAAAACAATGTTACATACGGTTGCAGACACACAAATACGTGATAAAGTACATCTGATGGCTTGCAATACAGCTTGTTTGCAGCATTCGCACAATCTGTCTGGATACACTTACGATTTATTGGCTTACATTTGATAAATGTTGCATTTCGTCCATCTAGGTCAGCAAATTAAACAAAGCGAATAATGAAGCAAAGTAGCCGGCCAGTGGTCATCAAACAATTCATCATATCGTTATTGTAAGCGCCATGTGTAAAGGGTTTTCAGCTCTTAACGTTCGCTGCCATTTCCCGAACAGTAGCCTGAATTGACTTGCTAAACTGACACAATGTTATAAATTCCCCTCGCCTCTCTTTGTCCAATTTGCGTACTTCATCCTCACCCTGAGCGATTTCAGCCCCAAGACGAGTGACCTCTGCAAAAGCGTCCTTTTTTAAGCTCATCAATTCCTCCATATTGCGCTGATTCCTTCGTATATCCTCCAGCTTTGATAAGATGCTCGCTTCAAGTGCTGCACACTTACGGTGGATGGCAGTCTGAGCAGTAGGAACATCGGCGGTACAAGTGTCAAGGAATGCTTTCATCTCGTCGGGGTCGGATTTTAAGTAAGCGACAACGTTAGCGACTACTCCGTCTCTAGACTTTTCAGCCTCTGCCTTGTGTTTGCGAAGCCTTTGAGCAATGGAAAGGGCTTTTTGCACCTCTTGCATATTAATCGGTTTCACACCGGACAGTTCTTTGGTTTTCTTCTTGACACGATCAACCTCCTGGTCAATCTCGAAAATTTTTGCGCTGAGGGCATTATACTCGCCGATCACGGAACGCACGATGGGATCTTCGTCGTCTCCCATTGTTTTTTCCATTAGCTCATCAGCGTCATACACTTGATTGTGTTGGTCAGATGCGACTGATGTCAGCCACGAGTTTTCAACCTTAACTCGAAATTCATCTTTGATATACGGCTGAGGTGGGGGAATAGACACATGACCTGAGCTTATCTCGCTTTCGTCGTCAAATGTTAAATCCACAATCGAAGCGGAATTGAGACGTGTTGAACATTTTCCGTGATGTTTTGTGGTTTCGGTGGGCGCTGTTGCTGCAAAAGGTACATTAATTGACAAATTTCCCAATGCTGCCACCGTTGAATTCGCGAAGACGGCTTTTTCCGAATATTCATGTGCTGCTGTCCTGATAGTGGATTTAGCTTTTTGTGTCTCGCGCACGCTCTCACAAGCGAGCACAATCGCTGGCTTTGCATTAGCAGCTCTGACTTGCAAATCGCCTTTGCTTTTCTTGACCATCTCTACAAAAAAAAGGTTCCAGCTTGCGAATGGAAACATTTTTGGCGACGATCCTGCAACCATAGTACACTTTTCATTTCAAGCTCACCGGCAAAAATCTCTGTTAAGCTCTGGTCACTCGTACCTTCGACACAAAAGAATAAGTGCATCTCCAGCTGACGATGCTTTGTTGCACAGCAGCTTTCGCATTGGTACGTATTGCAATTTGCACAAAAAAATTCTTGCATGTTTTGTCCACATTCCTGGCAAGCTGTAATGCGGCATCAATAACAGTAATATTAGTTCATAATCACCACGGCCTGTTGACCTACTGCCAACGCACCGCTGATCCACTTAAGAAATTCCTGATGAGGCCTTCCATCGCTCTTACTTTCTTCGTGTTTGACTGCCAGCTCTGCTAGTCGATGGTGAATTACTAGTTCGCACTGCCTGCAAAAACGCTGAACGCAGCGATGGCATTCGTAGTCGGCAATGATAATGCGACATTGATCGCAATGGGGTCGCTGCAACTCTATGGTGACAGAACATGACAAAGATATTACTATATTACCGCATAACAATAATGTGGCCGAAGCTGACAGCCAACGCACGCGCAGGCTCGAGGACGCAAGCAAAGCTCGGATTTTCTTGGTCTTCCATTAATTCTCGTAAGTGCGAGCCATGTAAATACTATTTAGACGCGCCCTCTAAGATTGAGAATTTAATAAGAAATTAGCTCAAAATTATCTATGGAAATATCTGCTCGAATTTTCTTAAAAATTTGATCAGAAAAAAATGATTTAAAAAAGGGAGAATAAAAAAATGCCCAACTTTTGCCATATATAAAAAAAATATCCCAACTTTTCAAAAAATAAAAAAATACCCCAGCACGTAAATTATCTACCGGGGAGCCGTAATATTACACAACAGAATGTATTGTATTAGGAATGAATTAGCATAATCTTACAAAATACCCCACAATAACAAATGAAATATTGTAAAAACGATTTTTTTAAAGGAGTAGTCTAAATGGAGTCAGATCTAATTATGAGCCACTCTTCAAATATTTCCTTAGGATTAAGTCAAAGCTTTTTCAGTGAAAAGTGCACGGCAATTCATTGCACTTAATACTTCTTGTGATCAATCTAAAGACCGAGTCATGAAAGGACTATATCCCTTGTGAAACTAATGTAAAAGCTGTTTGATCACCTGTTCCCGAAACAAATTGTAAGCGTACCCTGGTATGATGGGGTGGGTCACACAAGATGGTGAAACCACACAAGATGGTGTGGTTACACCATGCAAATAGTACTCACTTTCTGTTTTTCCACTTCGATAACAGCACAATTCGAGTAACTCTACACCGCCTGAATTTTACTAAAAAAGATCACGCTAGTTAGGAGTGGCACCATCAAAATGGTTTCAATGGTGCGTACCTGGGAGTCGGTATCAGTTATTTAGATTAACCGATGACAAATTCCCGGTAATACATGTAGGTATGGAAACTACCGTCACCGATTCCGCCTCTTGGAGTCTTGGCGTAGGCGGAAGTACTGCAAGCACTCTATTGTTTTTACAATGATCGATGCAAGCCACCAACCCACCAACTGCAATCTTGTGTACTTAACCCTCACATAGTTAGCACATATATATTCACTACAACACGGTTACAATCGTACAAACTCCACATCAAATGTTGGGTGATTGTGAATATTCGTAAGCACCATCATATTGGTATGCGTGAGAATTACGATGTTAAAATAGAGGGCTCCAAGTACTTAGCCGCACGCTAGCATAGAACGACAGTTTGATTGTACGATTATATTTTGCATGACTGTGCATAGTCAAACCTAAATAAATGAACAATTGTAATAGCAGAGCAATTTATTTGGATACGTCCGAGGCTCTCGGATCCGCTCCTGTTGAAAGCACAGGAATCCAACTTCTGTGCGTTTGTTAAAGTAAGAACTTTGTCTATGCAAAGTGCACGGCAACCCCTTGCACTTGGTAGCACATGCAGTCAATCCAGAGATCGTGACGCAGAAGAATTGCTTTCCTCGCGAAGATGCAACATACATGCCCAAACACAAATAAACAGGCCTAACAAGTTTTTTTCTTGGGTCTTTGAAACATCAGGAGCTTGTAGTCAAGGAGCCGGAAGCAGCAATCGCTCACCAGGAGATACTCAACAGCTTTAAGAGCGTCTAGGAGCAGCCCAAACGGGCTTCGGAGGGACATATCATTTCCTTCGTGAGACCGCTGATATTTGGTTCCTGGCATTTGACGGCCGGGGAGGTGCAAATTCTTTTTTGGAAAGAGGAAGTTTATATAGCCATGAGGTTGGCCTTTTTACAAACGGAGCACAGCTCGTCGCACTTGCGAGCTTTGAGCCAGGAGATCGTGTAATGGGGTCAGTTCCATCAGACATGTTGTAGGTTGTAGTGGTTGGCATTAACTATTTATTGCATAGTTGTATTACCCTCCATTATGTTGTATTCGAATTGGAGGCACTTATTGGTTTAGGGAAGGTTCAAGGCCTATTGCGCATGATAAATGTCACTACCTTCTCCAACCTCGTTTGCGTAAATTGACGTCTCACTTGAAGCGAGCGACACGCGGAAAAGCGTGTTAACCAACTTAAGTCTTGCCCCGTAAGTGCGTATAAACGGACGGGCAATTCCAGATTCAAATCGCCCACAAAAAGGGCATCTACGTAGAATTCTCGTTAATATGGCGCTTCCAATATGAAACGAATTGGACCGACAGATGACGCGGGACTTCGCACTACTTAATTAGGCGTATAGGGTGCGTTCGAAATTATTATCTACCTGTCAATGGAATAGAAAAAAATGGCGGACTATGCCCAAGAGGTAAGCGCTCATACCACCGCATTTACGCCTGATCCTTTCCCGTAGATGATAACGGTTATTATATTCTTGGCTGGTCTCTGAACGGATGCGGCTCACACCAAGAACTCCTGCATTTATAAATCTTACGAGGATAGGTGGCGTCGCATTCAATACGGAATTCAACCGCTTTGTCGTTAGTGCAGGATAGGATGCTGGAAATATAAGCTCTTCAAACGCACCAAAGGTAATGGATCTCAATGACGCTGAGGAAGAAAACACAGATCTTTTAGCTGCTAAGCAGCTCCGCGGTACCCGCAAATGCTTCAACTACCGCAAATGAAACATTTGCGCCTTGCGTGTCTCTATCGCTCTTGGCAGATGGGAACAAAGGGCCAGGCCGCACGCGAGGGCAGACGACGAATCCCACACTGAGAAATGTCGAGTCTAGGGTAGCCTACTAAGAAATATTAGAGCCTTAAAATAGCTTATAAATGTCTTTGTCGTTGAAGACATGCCTATGAAAGAGAGATTTTCTCCAAGAGGAGTGCTCGTGTTGTTGGTTGTTGATATCAACGTCTCGACTTTTGTAAATTCATGGAAAGCCTCAATAAAATCAAGAACTTCGTGAGATAGCCTACGACCGTCAGAAACAAAAGGCTGTACGCGGAGGCATTGAAGATATCTGATACGATCAGGTTATTCATGCATCTTGTAACGGAGACGTTGAAAACACGTCGAAGATTCTTTGAACCATCATGTGAATTTTGAGGATTTCGACAGCGTGATACATTGTCGAGTCTTCTTTGACCTAGATTTAAAGATGATATATTTTCGAGGCATGGCATGGCTGATGGACCACGAGCTGTGGGCCAACCAGAAGCTGAAAATATTAGGTGCCACGCACTTTTCTAACCTCTTCCAGGAGGTGGAAAAGCTTTTAATGCGGATATGAAGCTGCGATAGCCTCAGTGTAGAACACGAAATTATGATAGCAATGCCCAGTGATGTACGTGGAGTGGCGCGTAATCCACTGAGCACTACTCATGTTTCAAAGCAGTTGCGGCATGCCAAGAGATGCATGGTCGGACGAGGTCCGAGGCATCATGGGCAAGGTCCTTCTCATGAGCGTGGAGTGGCACATTATTTTCTGGACGAAGACTGCGATGAAAGCAGCTCTTCGTCAAATGTTGTCAATAACATCAAGGCCCCGATGGATCAGGGAGTGGGAACACTGGACGACGCCGGGTGCGTGTTCCCACTGGTCTCGTTGAGACGAACCTTTATAGAGATGAGTCATCGAAGACGTATGATGTCTGCAAGACGCAGGGCGTCGACCTAGGGTGTGTCACCCGTAGACGACAACGCACAGCTTTATACCCTTGTCAACGGTATGACGGATAGAGAAAGACGGCCGAGTCGCCTCGAGGCTATTCCTGCGGAAGATGCTCTTCTTGAGCTGGATGAGATATCCTTCGAAGCGTTTGGCGGTGCCTTGAAGGCAGGCAATTAAGCCGAGGAGGTCATTAAAGACCGAACGAGGAATTTCACTTGTCGTCTGGATGAAGCTGTCTTGGTGGACTTTAAGAAGGTGCTGAACGCGTCGGTCCTGAAGGATATCTTGGATCCGTACTATACTTTGGTAAAGGAATCTCAAGACGTCGTCTGTAAAGACCCGCCGTCGGTCTTACCTCCAGACAGAGGTGTGCGTCATGAGATCTACCTGGTTCCAGGAACTAAATACTGCGTTACACGCTAATGGTTCCTGCCCAAGGAGCAGTGTGACGTCATTGACGCCTTTTCCGTGCGAAGCACGACACAGGTACGGGAGGACGGATGCTGAGAACCAGATCGTCCATTTGAGAGCGGTGCTCGAGTGCATGCGCACGAATGAGCTGTATGCTGATGCAGACGAGTGCATATTCGGCGCTGAAGAGATCTTCTTTTTGGGTGCTTCAATAAATGAGCCCTGTGTCTATGACACGAAAAACACCCAGCCTCGCTGGTTCCGAGAGCGCGCGGGAAGAGCCCTTCTTCGTCTCCTGCACGCGGTGCAACTCCGGACAGTACGTTTGCGGTTTTAAGGTAAGCGCATCTCAAGCCCTCGGCAACCGGGCGTCGCTCACCGCGCCCGCCACGAACGGAAGATTTCTTCGTTGAAGATTTGGAGAAGTCGACTACGAGTCGGATACTTCTTTTTCAGGATGGGAAGAGGGGGTGAGGTGCTCTAGCGACGTGAGCCCTGCTCGAACCTTGCGGACACTATGTTCGTTCCCTAATTTTCAGACTTCCAGGGGGAGTCGTATCATTACCAATCTCCTCAATGAGGCACAGGAGCAGAAGTTGGGGCTGCCCACAAAGCGCCTCATATGCGCTCACATCCACGGTCAGTCCTAGACCTTTGTGCGAAATACGGCTTCCACTCGGCGAGTCCCGCTACTGAAGCAAAGGACGCAATCACCCGATCATCCGGCATCTAGGTAGTCAGGCCCCCGGCTACTAAACATGCCGGACTTGACCAACGAAAAGCTCTCCGACCTCGCTTCTTGGTACCTCAAGGAATCCCAATGGAAAGGTACCGCGCTCGACTTCACACTCATAGAGGAGGCACTCCTTTACCCGCAATGCGAACGATTCCTGTGATACTCGTTCCTTGCAACACCGCTTCAGAGGTGGAGGAGCTCTTTGAGCGATGGGTGCAGCGGCACCGGAAACCTATCTCGCTGTCATACTTACAGCGGAGCCACAAGGAAGTAACGTGCACGTAGAACGCCATCTTCGATTTGAGTTTGTCAAAATCAAGGCGCAACGACG